CCTTTAATCATTTTTGCTCTTCTTCTCTGGACCTTCTCCAAATCTTTCTTGAAATGTGGTATGCAGAACTGGACACAATACTCCAATTGAGGTCTAATCAGCAAAGAGCAGAGTGGAAGAACCACTTCTCATGTCTTGTTCACAACACTCCTGCTAATGCATCCCAGAATCATGTTTGTTTTTTTGGCAAGTGTCACACTGTTGATTCATGTTTAACTTGTCAACTATGACCCCCTAAAACACTTTCAGCAGTACACTTTCCTAGACAATCACTTCCCATTCTGTAATCGTACTCTAAGCCATCATCTAAATCATTGATGAAGTTATTGAACAGAACTGGTCCCAAAACAGACCCTGCAGAACCCCACTTGTTATCCCCTTCCAGCAGGATTGTGAACCATTAACTACTGAGAACGTTTGTCCAGCCAGTTATGCACCCACCTTATAGTAGCCCCATATAAATTGCATTTCCCTAGTGTACTGATCTATTTCAACTTATCTAGATATTTGCCTAATTTTAAAACAAGCTATATGAAAAGCACTAGCAAAGTATGTATAAACTAAAATTTCACACTTTATACTGCTCTACGTAACTAACATACAGGGAAAGGTACTTGATTAATTGATTTTAAAGTAGATAAATGAAAATGCACTTTTTCTGTAGTGTGCGCTGTTACTTTTGTTTTTATAAAAAAAACCTTGTGTTTGTAGTTTTATGCTGTTCTTGTAAACAAGCACTTTAAGCATGACACTTTGGCCCGTCCAAGACAAATTGGACTTCCAAAAAGCATACAGCTTAGAAAGGGTTCAGCATCAGTGCTTAAAATTTTTTTTTTTGCCAAAATTAGGGAGTCTTATAGAAAGTAATACAAAATGCACTAAACTCATAGTTATTTATACTGTGGCACTGACTAAAGATTATCATCTCTATCAACAATTAACACAATGGGCTCTCAGTTCTACTGCAATATAAGCTCGACTATTCCCATTCAAAAGCCCTTTCCAACAAAAACCTACCATACATCCCTAGATCAATATTTATTTGATAGTATCATACTAGTCCAAAAGTAATCTGGACAACTGATTTGTGCCAGAAGATTCCCAAAAATCACAAATTTTAGAATTACATTAATTTTGCTGATACCTAGATCATACAGCTATGCCACTGAGCAAACAAAAAATTGTATCTGGATGTTAGAATTGGCTCAATAACTGTTAGGACTCAGCCCACATGATTTTCAATGTGCTCAAATTTTGCACAAAAATCTAAATTTTTAAAAGCTGAGAATCATTATAATCAAAGACACCAAATGTGATATTTCAGCCAAACCCTCACAAAGTTGCAGGAAAACCTCTAACTTCATATTTCATTATTCTGATGCATACAGAGAATAGCAGGGTCAGTACTGACTATGCTAAAGCCTTGCATGGATACAAAATTTGTATTTGCATCCCCCAAAAGGATCTACAGATATCTCCTTCCATAGATGCAGATACCCATGGATATAAAGCTGGCCAGCCTGCTTTAAAAAAAAAGCTGTTCACAAATTTGCAGAGTTCTAGATACACAATGAGATGCTCACTACAAAAAGTTGGAATCACTGCACGGAAGCGTGTACAGGATGAAAATAAAAAAATAAAAATAAAAAAAAATCAAGCAGCAGCACCTATTCCAGGGATAAGATATACTTGCATTATCCTTCATCTTTGTGAGGGCACTCCATTGAAAGAAATTCTGTGCTCACATCCAAATTCTTAAAAAAATATATTAAGAGAACACAATATAGCTCAAAAACCCATGAACTAAAATTAAGATTCCAGCACAAGGGGAACTGTGTTGAAAGGACAAGAGGAAGACAATGGAGAAATGCCAGATGGTGAAGATTCATTTTTAAACTTTTGAAAGATGCTACAGAAATCACCTCTTAGTAATCAACATGACTACTGTGCATTATTGCTTGCCCAGATTTAATTATGTAGGTGTGATTGTGGTATCAAATATACCTTAAGCCATTGGTTGAATCCAAATACAAGCAATACTATGCAACAAACCATGAACAATCTATTCTGAATCCAGAACTGTTTCTCATTAGGGATGTTAAATATGTCAATTGGTTAGTCAATTAACCTCATGAATTCTTATTACTCACTCAACTATTCTATAGTCCCTCTGCTGTATCAGAGGCAGCAGCGTGAGGTACCAGGGAGGAGCTGGTCTGCTAGCAGAGCCAGTTTAAAAAAGCCAGCTCCCCATGTGGACCAGCTGCAAAGGGTGGCAGCAGCCCATGTCTGGGGCAGGGTCAGTGGTTGAACTCAAGAGACCTGGCTTGAGCCAGGCTGCCTGCCTGCTTCCTAATATACTTTAAATTTAGAGCTGCAGCTGAAGCAGGTACCAGAGCTAGCACAACCCAGGACTGAGCCAGGCTGCTAGCCAGCCTGCTTTAAAAAAAAAAAAAAAAAAAAAGTACTGGCCCCAGAGGGTGGGGAATAGTATTCTATAGCATTAACCAATACGCAAAAGCTTAAAAGGGTTAATCAGCTACACTATTACATCCCTATTTCACAGATCTGAGAAATATGTGGCATTAAATATATTACCATACTGCTCTAAAACTAGCAAACTATTGGACTTTATGAAAAAGTTTGAAAGTATCTCATATTTTGAGGCTGGAATACATCAACAGTAAGACGGAAAGACTTACGAGATGCTGTATAGAGGAAGTTTCTATAGCAGTAACTGCCTAAGCAAGTTGCACTTCCTTACTCATGATCTGCTACCTACCAGTCATAGCTAATCTTTTGCAAGTTGCTTTGGTACTTTTTATGCCAGATAACACAGCAAAGCCACAGCTACAGAAGTGAGTTGGATTTTCAAATTCACACACTAACAGAATTAGTGAGAACCAACTGCAAAATCTTTCCAGTAGACTTTCAGACAACTGAAAACTACCTTGCAAATGCAATCTAAGTTGGTAGTTAAGAGGCCACTTGTAAATTAGAAAGCGTGCTTTAGGAACTATTCGAGGCCATAATACCAATTTAGTCCTAAAAGTCTTGTATAGTTACACATAAGCTTTCAACAGTTTATATTAACTGTAAAATAAAAAAACAAAACTTTAAAATATACTATCCTACCATTTAAAAAAATCCAGATCAATAAACCAAAACTGCATCTTGACCACATTCACCCTAAAAGGTGAAGAACGCATGTGTGTGGTTTCATTTTACTTATTTAACAAGAGTGCATTAAAGATTAATTATATTTAGAACAGGTCTGTCAAACATACCTTGCACAATAAGGTCTTGGTTTATGACTAGGACTCTTAGGTATTATGATCAAATAGCATAACTATTTTTGATCAAGTAAACAATATTCTTGAATCAACTCTGAACTGCCAGTGCCCTGTGTTGCAAGCATACCAGTTAGAGGTTAAGTATTCTCATGAACTTACTGAACGGATAGAAACACCTTATGCTGTTTTGGTATGTCCCCAGTGTCAATTTATTAAAAAAGAATTTTCTGAGCCTTTAAAACCTCTGACAGCAGTGAGGACCAAATCAATTGGTCTGATTTTGTGTGTCAGCTGATCAGAAGCCACTTTAAAGCCCTATATGACAGCACCAGAGGCTCATTGGTGGGCTGCAAGGTTTTAGGAATCCACCAAACAGGGATGGCATTACTCACTGCAGCAATTCTCCTACTTACTACCCTTCAAAGCCTACCCTGGGTTTTATATGCAGAAAGTTGCGGTACAGGTGGATTATGAAGTACGTTGAAGGATCTTCAGAAAGAAAAAGGATGGGGAGCTGTGTCTCCATGTTGGTTCCAGGATATTACCAAGGCCAAGTGTGCAAGGGTAATATTGTGAACAAGACCAACTTGTGCTTCTCACCAATTCAGACTCGTCCAGTAGATTTCTCTCAAACCTGGTCTACTCAATTCTATTTTTCTGACCAACATTTCCGAGATTGCAAAATGTATCTTGGAAAAATGAGTTTGTATTTCACTTGGTGTTGGATGGAGGTAACTTGAAAAACAGATTTCCAAATTAAAGGTAGTCCTTCAGTTGACCATGAATCCAACATCAGTGTACAGCAACCATGCAAACCTTTTAGCATATACTAGCAGGCAGAGACCAATATTGATTTAACTTGCTAGTAGCACATTCCAAGTGGAACATAAATTAAAATATCTGATATCTATGCAAATCGTACAATTATCAGAACCCATTGAAAATTTAATCAGAAATAAAATTAACAGGATTAGTCAATACAGTATAGACAAACTGTGCTGACACTAAAGGCACAATTTGCCAGTGTTTAAGAGAACACATGTACTAATTATCTTCCCTATGATTTTTCAAATCATGGCTCAAAGTTTAGTTCTAATTTCCACAGCAGTGACACTGAGTCACCAATTAGAATTGATAACCTCTTAAGGTGGACAATGTTGGTTCCTTCCTGGATCAGAGAATCTGTTATCTTGACCATTTATCTAAACTACTAATTCTTGAATTATAGTTCTACTCACTCCAGAAAGCATAAGAGCAGATCACTTACTTTTATGCCAACAAATTCAGGGTCAAATGATCCCCAAACACTGTATACCAGCAACAAGTTAAGACCCCACAGCTTCAAGTTTTGCTCCTTCAAATACTAATTTTAGTCACATTACAGATTCCAAACCAAAACACACTTCTGCACGTTACACATGTGCATTTTAAGTGACCATACCGAGTTACATACCAACATCCCCTGTAGTGTCCCCCAAATCAAACTCTCTACAACTTCTAGTACCAATGAGGAATGTGTCATGTTCCTCTTCTATATACCAAATTTGAGAGTTTTCTTTTAAGTCAGCCTGCAACAAATGGATAAAGCCATGCAGGAAGATACAAAGGTCTACATTATAGAAGTGTAGAAAAAAAAATCCTAAATTCAGTTTCAAAGTGTATTAGAGCAGCTCTATATTTAACGCTATCCAAAAATACTCATTTCAGTATCACTTTTTTCAATACTTTATTTATGCATTAATTTTTTAGGGAAAAGGTGGAGACGAGACAGGGAGAGAACAGTAGTGTGTAAAATTATTTTTGAGCCCAAGTGAAAGAGGCACTTCCTACAGATTCTCGCCTACCCACCTTAGAGAATGTCTATTTCAATTAGCAAGTTACATATACTTTTTTCATCCAATCATCTTCTTAAAATTGATCTCAAATAATGGATTATTTAATTACAAAGGTGATTTAGATAGGCTCAGTATGTCACTTGCATTATTCTTTTACACATTTCACACTTTTAATGGTTTATTTAGTATTTGTGGTAGACACATTTGTAGTACTGATATACAACATGTAAACAAAACATAAGCTTATAGAAAGATCATATAATATGTGATACTTCTGTTGTATGATCATACAAAAAGATTATTCCAGAGTATGACTGAAGGATAGATTTCACCTTGAAATTCTGAACATCTGACAAATTTTGGATGGAAGTACATTAGAATTATATGTTCATTCTAGTGCCAATTTAGAACAGAATGAAAAAAATCCTAAATACAGGATTTTAGATCAGTCTCAAAATTGTTTAATACAAAATGAAGATTTCTTCATGCAATTTTAGTGCAAAGCTACAGATTCAGGCCAGGTTAAGTAAGTTTGCACAAAATATCTTTGAAAACTAAAAGCTTTTTTGACCCATTTCCCTTTAACATGGCTACTGAGGATTAACTGTTTTGTAAGCAGGCACTCACTTCAATACAACAGGAGGAGCCCACAAAAGAAAACAGATGCTCTTAAAATCTCCAGAACTGAACGTAAGTACACATACAAAAAAAATATCAGAAGTAGAGAAACGTCTGTACCATATACTGTCCAGCCACACTTGAGGTCACATGAAATAGATGAAAAAACATGCCATATTAGATATTCGTATTTCCTGGAAGAATGCAGTATGGCTTCCTAAAATAGTTAGACTACTGAAGATGTTTCAGCCTCTGTCCCCACCAACCTCAACAGGCCGGGACAAGTGCAATACTACAGGCACACACAGCATTGCAACTAATCCCAACCTGTGTAGAAAGGGGTATAACTTTCCTCACTTATTCACTGACTTGTCACTGCCACAGTCAGTTTTGCATGGATTTGCACAGCAGAGTATCATACAGCTGGATGCAAACCTGCAAAACTAACCAGAGAACAGTGTTCAATAAAACAAAAAAGTTAATTTGATAGGAAGGCATGCTGAAGTTGTAGTTCTACAGCTAGCAGTACTTTAAGTGCTCATAATGCAGTAGATTACTGAACACTACCTGCACTATAAGCACTTTAGTACTACTGAAGCTGTTATATTTCCTAAATTTAAGGAACCGCTATGAAAGTTAAGACCACCAAAATACTTAAAAAGTAAAAAAAGTCACTCTCACTCTTGATGTAGACAATAGCAGGCCACCATCAGTTTTGCATAGATTTGCACAACTACATTCTTCTTGTAGTGCAACTATGCAAAACTAACAGAGAACTGCAAAGCATACAGCTAATGGAACATCTATATTTCTCAATCAGTCTGAGTGACTGGATGAAGATATAACTTCTTATGCCAGAAGGAGCACTTAGGGCAGTAGATGCTAATCTACTTCACTATCTGCACTAGATGCACCTTAGAACAAAAAGCAGTGAATACCACAATGTACCTCACAAATTTTTGTATTTCTGCAAGATCTCCTGTGGCACTTGTCAATATAATGCTACAAGTGCCTTCACTGCAGTAGATTCTTATATCACTACCTGCACTGTAAGCACTTTGACATTACTCTGACGTGACCAGATTTTCAGTAGTTCTCCAAGATACGTTGTCTAATTTGCATCTGTGGAAAGAGAACAAAATCAATGTGTTGACCAGATTTTAAATAACTGTCATAAGTAATAAGACAGTGCCAAGTAGCTTAAAAAGAAATGCACGCTAATTCATAGTACAAAAAAAAAGAATCAGTCCAAATTTCAGACTAATAGTAAATTTAAAAAAACTGGAAGCAGAGGGAAGGAATCACAAGGAATCTATGCATTTTTGCATAAATGACCTAAGTGCTCCTATTACCCCAGTTTTATCAGTTCGATCAAATTGATGCAAGAACTTCAAAACATTACAAATAGAATGTTTAAATGTTAAATCTACAAGAGAAAATTAAACGTTTGCCTACTATCAAATAGAAAAAGTTTAATAATCATTGGTGACTTTGCTGTAAGTGTACTCTGAAACAGTAAACAGCAAAATATGCAAAGCACAAGAAGTTACAATGAAACATTTGACATCCAAAGAAATTTATTTCCTAGCAGTTTTAAATTTTTCCTTTGAAATTAGCCAACAGACAGTGAAGAGCATTAGGCCTGAGAACTTTTTATTTTTGTTAGAAGTAGATACCAATTATAATTGGTTACAGAACTAGACTGTGCTCAAACACAGCCATGTCCTAACAAGCAATAGTTCCTAAAGTGGTAGGTCACATTTTAAAAAGCTTTTCTAGACTCCAAGTTAAATAAATACAATATTCTTGTACTCAAAGTCAGAAAGTATGATTCTGAATGAATTTTGATGTATTAGTCTTCATATCTGTATGAAGACTCATTGCCTATAAAATTAATGTATGTAATGTTGTTCTTCAAGTTGCAATGAAAGTTGTGCATTGTATCAACATGTAATAGTTCTATTACTTGTTGAATTTAAGATTAAGGTGGCATCAGTTAAAATTTGAAAGAGGAATTGATGCAACCTCAGGTTGGCTGATCCACTATTTCAATAGACGATAAACAGATTTAAAACATCACAACAAACATTTTTACGTAAACTGAAGGCAGTAACCAAAACACTCAAAGCCTTGAAATAAAGATAATTCCCCCTCCCTCCTCTTGGACAATGGACTCCAAGCATTATCATCTGAATCGTAGAGCTTTTCTAAACCCATCTTCTGCTTCATGATGTAATTATGCTCCTAAACGAACTGAGGCTAATCACAAGCATTTCAAAAATATTTCAAACTAGTCAGCAAACTTACCCCTTTTAACTGAAAATGGTGACTTCTCCATGCAAGTTCTGCTGCAACACCCAAAGCCTTTCCATGTTTACTGCTGCATGCACAGATACTGCAAAGATATTATCAAGATGCATTTGCTTTTCGTGGAAACCGTAAACAAAGCCACAAACCTGAGCGATTACGGCTTTCCTTCCCCAACTCTACTTTCAGGAACAAGGGACACTACGCATTCACTTCTTAAAGTGTAACTGTGGTTTTCCCTTGCGCCCAACGGCCTCAGTACAGGGTGCCTCCCACTTCCCAACATGTTTAAAAGCAAAAAGGGGCTCTCCCCCGTTCCCGGGCATGGCTGCAGCAAGCAGACTCCCAACGTTTCGGCCTTTCCACAGGGTCACTGTCGGCAAGGAGGGGCGCGCAGCCATGGGGACTCTCAGCAGCTCCCTGCTGCCAGGGGCAGGTGCGCCCGGCTGGCTCGGAGCCCCGGCGCCATGTGCTGCTGCTCCCCGGGCCGGGCCCGCACCCCC